ACATATCATTATTGTTTAGGACCATATCCAACATAAAGAGTTCTTAGCATATGACTCTTGTAACACGCCCTTCCTTCATGCAATTGTACACATCTATTTCCTTAAATTCTTCAATTTTCTCTTCGAAACAAAACTCATCCATCGAGTCAACCCATCTAACACTTAACGCATTTAAGACACTCCTATCGATCTTAACATTGTCATGCAACTCTAAAAATCAATCAAATGATGTCTTTTGAATAAAGCTCCTCTACTCTGGAGTCAATCCTTGATTTAAAGCACCAACTAACTTGGTTTTGAAAGAATGTTGTACACACAACTACGTAAAAAATAAAATAATGAAAGAGGAAACAAGAAAAGGGGAAAAGAGAAAGGGAAAATGAAAAACACGAAAGTGAAAAAGGGAAATAAGAAATGACATTGCAGAAATAACTTACTCTCATCATCGAAGTCAACGGAGTTTTCTATTTCACAACCCACAACCCAAATAATGGAAAAGGGGAGAGGTTCTCACCGGTTAATGTTGAATAAAAAAACAAATTGTCCTAACGAAGGAGGACAACGTCTTGACATCAGTGATGGTGGAAGAAACGAGAAATGGGTCGTCGAAAGTTAATTCTCGAAAGAAAATAAAAGTCCAGATATATCATAGAGATGGAAAAGAAAAGAGAACAAAGAGATGAAAAATAGAAAAAAACAAAAATGAAAACTGAAGGAAGTAATTTGGAAAAGAAAATAAAAATCTTGTAAGCTTCTATGCCTTTCCACGTCACTATTTGAAACTATAAAAAATATTTAAAATTATAAAAGATATTTTAAATAGGCCAATACATGTTTGACACATGGCTGTTGTCAAAATATTATTAACTTTTAATCGTGAAGATATAATGATCCCTTAAAAACCATCTGAATTCATTTAGATGGTATTGGCCAATTTTGAATTGCCTCAATTTTTTCAGGATAGCGTAGAATTCCATAAACAAAAATTTGATAGTCTAAATAGCTAATATGTGTTTCACCAAAACTACACTTCTTATGATTAAGGATTAATAGTTTATTTTAAAATGATTAGGGCTATATTTAAACACAATAAATGTTCCTCCCAAGTCTTAGTATAAATTAATATATATATATATATATATATATATATATATATATATCATAAAAAAACAATATAAAATGCTTCAAATATTGTCTAAAAATATCATTAATTGAGTTTTGAAATTAGTAAAGGCACTACTAAGGCAAAAAGGAAGAACTACCCACTCATATAACAGAGTCCTAACAGCAGATTTGTAAATATCATATAGTTCCATATGATTCATCTAAAATATCTTCTTAGGATAATTGCTAGAACATTTAGCTTCTTAAAATCAGTATAACAACGTACACTACAAAAAGAAAAATGTAATTTATCTATGGATATTTATATATGGATTTTAATTAGGTATTACATACGGATTTTGCCACAAAATTTTACCGTAACAATTTGCTGGTTAAATTTTACCGTAACAATTTGCTGGTTAAATTTATTCTGTAATCATATCTTCTTGGTGGTGGCAGTTGAGTTGGTTCCTGTAAAAGATCAACAAAGTCTTGTAAAGGCAGTGAATCAAGACTAAGCATCCTCTTGTTCCTTTTTGTCACAATCTGAAAGATTGACTTATTCTAATTCTTTCCTTGACCTTGAACCAAAATTTAAAGAGTGATTCTTATTGCACCTCACTGTTTTCGTTCTGCACTTCTAAAATATATTTTAATTCTAAGTATACCTTTAGCACAGTCAACGAGGATATTTTGGTCACAGACTTCTTCCGCAGTTGGAAGTGTGGAAAGATGGACAGAGAAACCGCATTTCGAAGTGCGTTAGTTGTTGCCGGAGTTCAAATGCCGTAGGTTTTTATTTCTGTAGGTTTTTTAATTTTTGTTATTAGGTTAGTATATTTTATTTTATTAGTTTTATTAGGTGAGTATAATAAACGGCTCATACTAACCGCACATGGAAGTGTGTTAGTTCTTGGCCGGACTTCAAATGCCGTTTATGTTTTATTTCTATAGGTTTTTTAATTTTTTTATTAGGTTAGTATATATATATTTATTTTATTAGGTTTTATTTTTATTAGGTTAGTATAATAAATTTAATTTTTGATGTTAGTTGTTAAATAAAATGTTTTCTTTTAATATATTTTTATTTATTTTATTTGTTTGTTAAATTTTGTTGAATTTGTTATTTTTTAACATATTATTGTTTTCGTAATATATCATTTATTATGTATTTAATTTTATTTAATTTTTTATGAAATTGAAATAATTATTAAATTTTTTATTGAATTAAATTATAATTATCATCTGTAAATTTTGTTAAATATTATTTTGGATTTATTTGTAATTTTTTAATTATTATATATGTATGTTTTTAAATTCGTAGCATAAAACATAATAAAAGAAAAACATGCACATATAAGAAACGCACTTCAAAGTGCGACAGAAACATATAAAACGCACATCGAAGTGCGACAGAAACATATAAAACGCACTTCGAAGTGCGACCACTAGAAAATGCACTTCGAAGTGCGGTTAGGAAACATTAATTAATTAAGTTTTTACTTTTTATTAAATGAAGGGTAAAGAAGTAAAATTGGGAGTGTAGGATGAAGGTAGTGAGGTGTAGGAAGAATCACTCAAACTTAAAGGTTTTACATCGATCCTACAACAGTTTTATGAAAATGTGATTGAATTATTGCGATAAGAGATATCTTTATTAAGAAATATATTTTAAATTTAATTCAATTATACAAAATTAATTTGTAAATTTATATATATTTTAAATTAGTTTTATCTTTTTAACTAACGTAAGGTTTCTATACATCTTACTGAACATAGTGGGAGACGTCCAAGGTTAGAACGACGAAAGTGATTCTTACTAGTACTAAATATGATGTGTCTTTGACTTTCTTTGTCAATTCATGTAACACTTTTTCTTGCAATATGGCCAACGAACTGCTTCTTGAATTGAATTGGGTCTATGCAGGTTTTCAAGCTCCACTGTTAAACATGAAAGGAAAAAACTTAAGGTTATATCTTCAGATACCATAACTCTAATCAAAAGATTCTCAATCTTTTCTACATATTCAGACAAAGAACTTTGTTGTTTGTGATCATCAAATCAGCTGCCCAGTTGAAAGTTATGTGTCTTCATGTAGTATGGTTTTTCCTTCCATGGATAATAACACCAGCGCACACTTTCTTGAATGGGTGTGCCTTCTAATTCAAAGAACTGTTCCACTTTAACACGCCAACCTCTTAATTTAGTCCCACATGACAACTGCAGCCGTGTTCTGTCAAGACAGGTCGGAGTTTCTTGTTATTAATTTTTTTTTTTAGGACTCATTATTACTAAACACCAAATATAATAATAATAATAATAAACTAGATGTTATTGGAATTTGTTTTATTTCTAAAATAAAAACTATCAAATAAAAATAATATATTTGTTTAAAAAGAAAAAAAGAATGTCAACATCTTCATAAAATGTCATAAAATATAATAAAATATCTTACAACAAATAAATAAATTATACATAGTCAAACTATTTCAATAAAAGTAATTAATTAAATACTTACAACAATTCGCTTCAGAATATAGTTTCATTAAAAAAAACAATTCATACCACAGAAAAAAAGAGAGTCATGCATAAATTTAAATAGTATAAAATGATAATTAGCATGCTTATTTAAATATTAAAATAACTAACCATGGCTGCGTATTTTCCCGTACTTATTGCTTAGGAAGTTTTTAATAATAGATAATTTTAATTGAATTCATTTGTATACATCATTACATGAAAATAATAATAATAATTTATACTTACATATAAAGGATTTTGTTTTGGTATTTATATTTTTTTTACTTTTATCTTTCAAGTTATTATTTTATTCAAATTCAACTGATTTTTTAAATGTAACTATTTTTATAAATTAAATAAATAAAAATTATTTATAAAATAAATAAAAACTATCTATAATTAAATAGTAAAAATTATTTATATTTACTTTTATAATTATAATTTTATTATTTTTATTATAAAAAAAGATAAATACACATACACATAGTGTCATGTATTTTTAATAATCATAATAATAAAACTCTCGTAATGATCTAACTTACTTACAATAACTTGTCTTCTAAACACACTTTGTAAAAATGGCTTCTATGAATATTTTATTAGTAAAATAATATTTTAATGTAGGTTACAAATATAAGTTTTTCAGTGTCTTATCAACAATTTTTTACTTTTACAATTTAAAAATATATATATAAAATTTATATTAATGAAAAATATGATGTATGATCTTATCTACATTTAAATATAGAAACATCAAAGATATTTTGTTTTCCTAATAATATAAATAATAAATAAATAATATAAGGATAACCTTCATAATTTCACTAAGAACAGTTATTATTACATTATAAAATTACTTCCAAGAATGTTGGACGTTTATTATACGTTAAGAAACAAACTTTTAATTGATGTCTTTTTCGTATTAAATCAGATTGATCCTAATCAATCTCATAAAATTAATTTTTAATATGAAATTTATATTTACATTATTGTAAATTGATTTTATTTTTAGATGAGATGTAAAATTTATAATATTATATTTTTAGAAATAACTTAAGAAATATTATAAGTACAAATATAATTTTTATGTAAATGAAAACTTGAGTATACCGCAATTTTTTTAAAATATTTTAAAAAACTAAAATTACTTAAGTAAAAACAGTTTACAAGAAGTTTGATTTCAATTCCATCACTCACAGAATCGGTAAGTTACCTAGCGTTAAGCCAATACTATACTGGCTACTAACTTGTTGCAATTGCAATGCAGTGAGAAATTATTGAGACATTTGTTGCAACTTAGATTTGAATGGAAAACAATTTGTAACCACAGTCTGCAAGATGAAATGTTGATATGGTGATTGATTAACCATGTTCATGAAGTTTTTTACAGCCATTTCAACTTGCATATCTGCATATCTGCATATCTGCTTATGTTATGCCAAATTTAAGTGTTTTGTACATGATGGAAGATACATATGATCAATACATATAAATGGCACTCCATCAGAAACTAGTGATTTTCTGTGCCCTTTTCCTAATGTTTCTGTTAAACCTAAATTCTCCTAGTTTACATAAACTTTATACAAATCTAAAAGCTTTTCCGGCAATCATGTAATTCACCAGAGCCTCTGGCTTTTAGTCAATATTTAGGCAAAGATCATATGAAGAGGGCGGCGAATCTGTAGGAGTGTCGCTCTCCGGTGAAGTGTCATTCTTCAGTGAAGATGGAAAAATGTGACAAAAACTTTTTTGCTTATGCATTAAACGCCAATCTTCGATGTAGGTCCCTTGGCAGAAATTGACATGGGGAAAAGCTCTCTTTTCTATCATTTCTATAATCTTCTTGGTCTTGCCAAGAATGTAAACTGAATTTCTAACAGTGTCCTCTCTCTCTTCAATGGTGCTATTCAAACACTTGTTGGATATAACGAAGGGTAAATTGCTGAGACATGCACCCACTATATCAGAAATCATCCCTGTAAGTGATTCAAAGGCCCTCTCACTTGTATTATCTCTTAATAGTTCTTGATTTAAGAGAGCAGTTTTGCATATTCTGTACATAGTGTGAGATGCGGATACTTTGTAGGGCCATAATGAAGGGCTTATCTTCATGCATATGTGCTTATATTTGCCTTTAAATTTTTCATACCTGGTTTTTGCAGCATCGGCTAGTTGCTCAAGTGCCTCTCTGGGGCTCTTATATTGAAGTGAGAGCTCACAAAGATCCACATCTAGCCACTTATCATATAGATCAACTCCAAGCCAAACAATTTCTGCCGCCGACCTGAGTTTATACAATTCTCTTTCTTTGTCCACGTTATTTTCTATGTACTTGACAAAGGGGAGTGCTTCATTTAGAGTGCTTATCAATTTTTTGACTGAATCCCTATTGATGTTTGGCAGTGCCACTACAATGCTAGCTAGTGTCACCAGAGGAAGTGACCAACTATATGCTGCTTGTGCACAATGCAAAGAAAGAACTTGGTCGCTGTCAAATGTTTCCACTCCCCTGAATCCCTGCAAGAAAGAACATTTCTTCTCCAATAACTCAATGAGAAGTTTTGGCTGCTTTTTCTCTCCTACTTGAACCCAGTGCATAGTGGCATCACGATTCTGTTTCAGCATTACCTCAACTAACTCTTCCTCACCTTCAAGATACAAAACAAAACATCTAAGATCCACCTTCGGAACAGACCTTGATTCTGTTCCCGAGCTAACGCTCGAAACAGTAGCAATAAGTTTGGATCTCAACTTCTTGCACTTATCAAAACATGTCAAGATCCAGCACATGAGGGTTACTGAAACGTACTCGGTGGCTTTACTCATTAGCACAATCCCCACCTGAAGTTTGATGCAGAAACACATTACAAGAGTTTTTGCATCATGGGCCAGCTTTCTGGACTGCCTGTTACGAATTCGAAAGCCTAGAGGGCTTTCTTTAATTGAGAGTAGCTTGGTAGTCCAGTACCCTTCAACTTGGAACCTTCTCTTGCAGGTCTTGTTCCTCACATTTGGGCACTTATAGGTTATGGCAACGAACCATCTAAAGGCAGGAGCAATAGTACCGACCACCACTGCGGCAACCTGAACTATGAGAATTAAGATGGTGGACCACTTGTAGTCACAGTCACCGGAGCAAAAATCAAACGACCGCGGCATCAAGTAAGATCGAAGAATGGCCTCTCCTAACGTCACGGTACTTAGAAGACAAAAGGCACCAGAAGCAGTACAAGACACTGACCTTCCAAGAACAAATTGGGGGCTGCTTGTGTGGGTCATCATCCAAATTTTCATCAGTTGATCTCTGAGTCCGTTGACGATTTGAGTCCTCTCCTCGGCAAACACGTTTGAGGACTCCTTAAGTGCCTCTTCGTTCATCCTAAGTTTCAGCTCGAAATAGTGCTTAATCTTTGGAATACTCACGGCTGAGGAGGTCATGGTCATCAACAAAATCACCATGAGGAGTAGGACGAGAGCATGTTCCACCCAGAACACATAGATAACACCGGTGACAAACTGGATGCAGATGTTCACAATCATGGTAACCACAAGGATTGCCATGGCCATGAGGTTCATCATGGTGTCTTTGTTCTCGGTGATCCCCAGAGTTGGCATGGAATTGGCCATTATTGTGCAGATCATGGCGCTGCTGCTGAGTTTTGATAGCTGATCATGGCGGTGTGGCATAGGGGTGTTGAGATCCACTGATAGCTTCACTGCTACAGCTATTATTGCCAAGGAAGTGGCGTTTAAACAGAAGAATTTGCAAGGAAACCAAAATTTGCGGCCTCGAATTCCGAGTATGAGATCTGCACCCATTGCTAGGAGACAAGCAAGAGATGCTGCTGCTATGTATATGCCAATCCATGGCATCGGTTGGCTGAACTTGGTGGCTTCCATGGATCCATTGCTGTCACAACCGGTTATTGCCATCTATCTTTCAGGGGTAAGACGATGCTTCTGTTTACTAGAGTTATGTTATGCTACATATCTACCATAAGCCTCTATCTAAGGTTGTTTCTAGGTTACAACAGCGCTTTGCTCTTCACCACACAATCTAGATTACTAAGGAGACAAAATTTGACCATTTTAATGGAATTTGTTAATTGGTGTTTATATTTTGAAATACTAATCATAAAATTTGTTAATTTGTGATATAAGTGCAAACAAATTAGGTGGCTAAAAGTCGTGAAATAAGTTGACGCAAATGCTGAGGCAATTGAGAAATATTCTAGGGTGTTGATTGACGGCGGCAAATAATCTTATTGGAGGTTAGTTTTCTACTATGGTTTGGTTTCCTTTTCCAACTTGTCTGCTGCAACAACGAGTCTCGGTTCTACGATGATGACATTAAACAACTATGGTTTGGGGATGAGATTGAGAGATATTCAGTCATTATATTTTTTATATGCACTTATTTTTAATAAATCTATTCTATCTTTTAAAAAATAATATATAAAACCCAATAATTTACCTTAATATTCGGTTCAAACAAAAATAAATATATCTTATTATAATAAGTAACAATAATAATTAAAGTTAAGAAAAAAAATCTTTAGAATAAATGGTCTATTAGATCCACTCCAATAATAAGGTTTAAATCCTAGATTTTTTTTTTAAGAAAATCTTAATTGGTCATCAGATTTTAATTAATCTTAATCAAATTTTTATTTTTTAAAATGTGAAATAATTTAGTATTATTTAGGTACAATACTAGTGACGTTAACTCATCTTATATGTTACTTCATAGTTCTTTTTATTTTTTATTTAATTTTATTATTTTATTATTTATTTTTTAAATTATCATGTGTCAAAGATCCTCTCAGTATACATGTCATGTTTGAGACAAATATCATGTAAAAAATGTTAATTTAGTTTTTTATTTATATTTTGTCTTAATTCATTCTCAACTTTTTTTTAACTTTAGCAATTTTACCATTCTTCAAATTGAGATCAAGTTTAATTTAAATATATAATAATATTTTTATTAAAATTGATATTTTCATTAAATACTTTTAAAAGTATTAAGTTTATTTAAATTTATATTTTACATTGAATTTTATTTAAATTTTGTTTCAAATATTTATAAATTTTGTTTCAAATATTTATAAATTTTGTTTCAAATATTTATGTATCAATAATTTCTATTCAAATGTTAGAGTTGATTTAAAAATAATAATATTATAAATTCAAATGTAAACCTTTAAAACAGTTTTATACAGTTTAAAATAAATATACTTAATATTTAAAAACAAAATTTAACTAAAATTTAATGTAAAATATTAATTTAAATAAATGTAATCTTATTTAAAATATTAATAAAAATATCATTATAACAATTATAGCATTTATTAAAGGTGATAAAACTGGTCAACCCAACCCGTTTAACCTTTTTTCAAAAATGGATTGGTCAATGATAATCTATCAATTAATAGTCTAATATAACATGGAAATAGGCTATTTTTTTTAATTTTATATGAAAATAGGTTGATTTCAGGCTAAAAAGGGTTCTATTTCAATTCTTGGTCAAGCTATATCTTACTTTTGTTGAGCTATATCAAATTTCAATAGGACTATTGAATTGTACTAATATGAAGTATCACAGCGCAAGTTCCAATTTTTTTAATGAAGTCGAGATGGCAGGTTGACCCAATTGACCTGCAGAGTTGGCCTATCGGCCTGCCAGGCTTGGCAGGCTTAGGGATGGCAAAAAAATCCGCGCCCGCGGATATCCGCGGATAAAATCCGCGACGGATAGTTGATACCCGCGGATATTTACTACCCGCAACCCG